CTGAATTATCGCTTTGCACTCCTCACTAAGTGCAACAGTTTCATTATCTTTAAACTTCATTTTTCTGTTGAAAATATCCTTCATAAACTTTACATAGCTCGATATTTGTTCTAAGTCTTCAGTAAATGAAATATTAATTGTAAGCTTCTTAAATATTTCTAGAAATTTTGAAAATTTCTTATCCAACTTCTGTTGACAAAGTCTCTGAGGAAACGGAGGTGGTGGTTTTTCCAAATCAAATTTCAGTAGAGAAATAGGTCTCTTAGAATCTTTTGGAGCGTCCACTTTTGATTTCTTCAATTTCTTCTCTCTCTACTTCAATTTCTTTTTGAACCCGACCTTCCAACTCTCTTCCGCTTCTAAGTTGAATGACTTTTACTTGCTCTTTATTCTGGTCTTTTGAATTTAATTCAGTATTACTAGGAAGTGATCCTTGGGATCGATTACTTAATGAATTTGCTATTTGCCCAAGTTGATTCTCGATATTTTTAATTGTAGCTCCTTGACTTTGTAATTGATTTTCCATTTGTAATACCACTTCTCTTATAGACAACTTCTTCTCTTTCAACTGTGTATTACTATTGAAACCTTGAGAATAAGTAGATTTATAATTATTATTCCCTTGGTTGTTCCAGTTTCCCAATTGGTTTTCCTTGGTTGTTCCCTCATTGCTGATTATTACCACCCAAATTATTATTCCAGTTAAAGTTGGGATGGTTCTTCCAACCTGGGTTATATAAATTGGAATACGGGTTATTTTTCTTATTATTTATGGTATTCAAAATTTCTAATGATGCTTGAGAATCTACCATTTAGCCTAATGAATTCTCTTTAATCATGAAAATTGGTTGAGAAAAATTCATTTCAAATTGGTCTAACTTTCTTGAAATTGCTGTAACTTGATTTGCGAACATGGTAAATGCATCAGATTCATGAATGCTGGCTACTTTCTTAGGATTCACCATCTCAGAAGGCCATTGAAAATTATTGGTAGCCATTTATTCAATTAAAGCATAAGCATCATGAAATGATTTTGGCATCAATGAACCACTAGTAGCGACATCAATAATTGATCTAAGAGTTCCAACTAATCCATTATAAAAAAGTTTACATTATTAACCAATCTGGTATAGCATGGTGTGGGCACTTTCTTAAGAGTTCTTTTTCTTAAGCACTTTCTTAAGAGTTCTTTAAATCTTTCCAATGCTTCATAAATAGATTCCCCTTCAAACTGATTAAAAGATGTAATATCATTTCTAAGCTTCGTAGTTTTTTATGGTGGAATATTTAGCAAGGAATTTTTGTGCTAAATAACCCCAAGTTCTGATAGTTCCAGGTGCTAACGAATTCAACCACATTTTATCTTTATCTCTCAGTGAGAAAGAAAATAACCTGTCTTATGAAATCATCTGATACACCATCGTATTTAAATGTAGAGCACAATTCTAGAAAATTGACAAGATGTAAATTTGGATCTTCAGTTGGTGATCCCCCAAACTAATTATTTGATATCATTTGGATAATAGCTGGTTTAAGCTCAAATGAATTAGCCACTGCAGTAGGTTTTTTTGAATACTATAATGAAGTTCATCTATAGTAGGGTTGGCATAATCTCTTAAAGGTCTAAACTCTTGATGAATTTTAGCATTTTGATTATTTCAGTTTGCCATTTCTATAATTTTTTTGGATTTTCAAGATTTTTATTTTTTTTATTTTTCTGATTTTTCTTATAGTTCTTTCTAATTCAGAATTATAGGACACCAGTCCTTTAGAACTTGAACTATGCATACACTAACATTAAAATTCAAAACACACAGAAAATAAGATACAATATTTAAAGTTTAAATACAACTTTCTAAAAATAGAAATTTTGCTTTCGATTCCCCAACAACGGCGCCAAAAACATGATTCCTAGATACTGCTAATATGTAAAGTACAACAATAATTTGGATTATATTTCACTTATATTTTCTTACTTTACAACAAAACCAAAAACTTGATCCTGAAAAAAAATAAGAATTTAAATTTTAATTTATATATATTGGGATACTATGCAAGTCTACGTATCATTATCAAGTAATATAGGACTTTTTGATTAAGACCTGAATATCAAACCCACAGGAAATTTATACAATATGCACTTTTAGAAAACTTTCTATTTTTATAAAGACAAATACTTAAATTGAATATATTTTGCAGTAATAAAAATTTAAATATTTTTGATATTTTTGATATTTTGGCAAATCAGTAACAACTTAAAAAGATAACTAGAGTTTTG